AAGATACCTGAGGAGAGGGTGGATAAGCGTGCAAACAAACGGTTCGAAATACCTTCACATGAGACTGAGCAGCCAAATTGTAAATCTCATCTGGTGTCACTTGACTGATCACTTTAATCAGTGAAGAGCTGTCCGTCATGTCCCCGTAATGTAGAAAGAAGCTACCTTTGGTCGAGAATCAGTAAAGTGACATTTTGGTGTGTCGAAACGACTTACGCGTCTGAGAATCACGATCGGTCTCATAAATGTGGTTGACGCGACCTGTATTGAATGAGCTAGAACGACGTATTATCCCGTGAACCTGGATACAAGTGTGCATATACGATCAGGACTACTCAAACCTCATATCCCTTGGAGAGTAAGAATTCAGCAAGATAAGCACCATCCTAAAACAGAAAAATGATAAAAAGTATCAAATGGTGTAACATTATACCTGTCCGGTTATTCCAGTTATGAGAGCCACCTTCCGAGTTCGATCCCCAGTGGAAGACGACATGATGCACAATGGAGAGGGTAACAGAACTGAAAGATTAAAACAACTATAGTAATAATTTTGAAATATGTACTAGTTACGGAAGTGTATGCAAAAAAGTAAGCAACACTTGATTTTATTTCGGGGTACCCAAAAATAGAATATTTAGATGATTAATCGAGCATCAATGTGAAAAAGAAAACAGAATCACAACGAACACGATGTGGTCCATACTCTAACGGTAAAAGCGTAAGTGTGACAGCTTAGCTTACCATTCTTGGGTGAATGTTTTCGAGGATAACGCGATCAAAAAAAGGATAGTTGCCTCTATGGAAAATTTGACAAACTGAAATCAAATCGATTAAAGTATGATTGGTTTAGAGACAAATAAAGGCCTAACTCATTCCACAAAAAGCTCCAGGCTCTGTGACGATGGGCTTTGACTCTTCCTGTCCCAAGAAATGCCTTCACAAACTATTGCTCTTAAGGATAGGTTGGATCAGTAGGTTCAGTCTGAGTTTTCAGTACCCGAATGAGCAAATTCAATTTGGACCAAGGTGACCTCGAATAAAAACGCCCCTTTTGATCAAACATGGTTGCCTACACATTTACCAATTTCTTTGCTACCTTGGTCTACCAGAATTCTTCATTTTCATTTCGACATAGCTTTCAACTTGTCAAGCTTTCTTCTACCTCTTCATCTGACTGGGCAACCAAAACCACCGCGTGAAAGTGCACGGTTCATCATCATCAACATCATGAAACGAACTTCACTGATCGCTGTCAAACTCGCAATGGACGCAAATAATCTGCAAGGTGGACAGGGATTGAACCTATTTTGAGGGAGGGGGACAAAGGTGAACCTCTATGGTCAACACAAAGTACAATTGACCTGTGCATATATTCCGTTTTATGCATTCTGGCTTGATAAGAAATGACAAGAACGCCACTGCTGTTGGCTTGCTGTCAGATCCTTCAATGTCTCCAACCGACCAGTAGAGGTGTATTTTGGACCACAACCTGGAAGGCTAGAGACACCTACTCTGCGCAGTAGCCCTGTGTATTTATACCTCGTCTAAACGTCACCTGTAGACCTCCAGGTAGTTTCTTCCGACCTGTAGGGAATAAAGCGAATTAGGTGCGGCGCAGCAGACGAAAGTTGGGCATACGCAATACGTGTTCTAACCAGGGAAGCCTGTTGATCTAAAGATCAACAGGCTACTTCGATGGCCTAGGAAGTTGATAACATAAATTAAAAAACACATGACGCTTTACCTGCAGATTTCTAACCTGCTCACTCCATTCTAGTTTCAGTTTGTGCGACCATTTAACATGCACTTCCGTGCTCCGGTTTTGGTTGCTGTCTTTTGGTTATCCATTTCGATGAAGCAATAGGAGAAAAACAGGAAGGTTGAAAATGGAGTCGAAGAGAAAATAGATAATTTCAGTGGAGAAAGTCTGCAAAGAAATTAAGATGCACGAACGGCACTGTTTACGACACTCAGCCCTAGCACTCAGTGCCTATAAAAATGACCCCGAGGTGTCCATCCAGAGAACCTAATCCAACCTACGTGACCGAATCTCATGGTTAGGGTTTTCATAGTTCGTGTCAGACCACAAAGCACATACGGAATAGGATAGCAGTATTTGATAGTCTATCAAGTGCGCTTTCAGCGTTCTCCATGCATTCCAACAGAAAGACGATTTCATCAGCTTGCTCTTCGCCAGCTGCCCATTCAAAAATCAACGTTGTAGAAACCACCAAGTGCGTTCTCCAGTATTTTGTCTGCGACGAAATTGAACAGGAACGGCGAGTGAGAGCACTCTTGACGAACACCGCTGTTAGTGACGAACCGCCTAGTTAGTTTGTTGTATACTCTCACCCAGTCAGAGGTGTGTGAGCACAGAGACATCAGTAACGTACTTCTGGGGCATTTTTTGCGAAGAAGTAAATCTATTAGAGCTTCGTGTTCAATTGAGTCCAAGACTCTTTTAAGGTCAAGGAACACTTAGATCGATGGTTGATTGTGGGTATGACACAGTATTTTGACCTCAAGTAGAGTGAAAATTTGGTCACTACATCCACGACCAAGCCAGAATCCAGGTTGCTGTCCACGGCAGTTGATATTGGTTAAAGGAGTCAAAAGTCAAATTATGACGGAGGCTAATATTTTGATGACGACTGGGATCAAATTTATCTCAAAATCACAATCGTTGCAAGAGGATTAAATGATACTATGCACGAAGCTTCGGTTGCGGATGAGTTAAACTGGTTAGCCCCAGATAGTGAAACTCCGCTGAAGTACTCCGCCCACCGCCCAAGCCCCTGTTCCCAACTTTGAATAGCTTGCCCCCTTTTATAGCAGATCGTTTCAGTAACTGGGCTTCACCGACCTCCTGTGTTGAATATCAGCTGGAACAGCTTTTGAAAATTCCCTGATGCAGCTGCTACTCCCATTTAACTAACTATTGTCGCACGTCAATTTTCACGGTCCTTCTTGAGCTGGTGTTGCAGACGCCACCCAATCCAGATTTTGTCGTTTTTCCCCCATCAGGACTACTGACTCATGAAATATCCAGTGCCTCGGACAGGTTTGAGGCTTAGGCCCACAAGCAACAGTCGCTGTGGAATTCATTGCTCGCTTAACCTGAGTCTACTGCTCATCTTTACCGTTACGCTTATTCACGCTTAGCTCACGCACTAGCTCTGGCTAATAACATGCAAGAACTGCTAGGACAGCCAGGCAACGATGAGCAAACCAAGATTACTGATTCTGAAGGCGACCAGTAAGTCGGAGCATGAAGTGCATCAAAACTAATGCATGATCAGACTGAACGCAGGTAGTCCAGTAAGACCTGTGCGGGGATCTGAGCAGAACTGCGAAAATCAAACACCGTTGCCTGTTCGCTCCATCACGACGAAACTGCAACTTGACGTGGTGTGATGGCTTGCATGCCTCAATGACCCTGCGAGCTACACAGGATGGCTTCTCACAGCTTCTCACAGCCGTAGATCCAGTCATGCCTGAAAGGTCAACGGGTAGAGGCCAGACAAAGCTCAGTTTCACAAAGTCAGCTGCTTGGGCACCTCCTGGCTTCCTTTTCTATCCACACCTGTCCCTGGAGAGGCCACTCCAGCAAATAAACACGCCGAGGGGCAGTTTACCGGTCGGCAACCCATTGCAGTATGCCTGAAATTAAGGATGAATTCTACCAGGATCTTTCTCAACTACCCCAAAGTGCTCAATCAACGGGCGCCGTAGTAGTCGCCGGGGACCTCAACGCTCAAGTGGGAACTCCGGACGAATCAGAAAGGCTTCTTGGCGGACCACATGCAATCCCAGCCAACCAGACAGACAACGGAGATCGTCTACTTCAACTCTACACGGACCACGAACTTCTCGCACAAGAAACGCCATCGACTTACATGGAAACCGCCAACCTCTTCACT